TTGCTAGCTAGATCGTCGCGACTTATTCAGCGAGTGCAGAATGCGTGCGCCCGCTTTTGCTTTCACATACCACCCCGAACTCATGTCACCCCATTTTTGAACTCAGCAAACATGCTAAAGATGGAGGCCCGTAGGCGCTTGCATCTGACCACATTGATGTTTGGTATCATCCGTACGGGCACTCCGAAATACCTAGAAGCAAAATTAGTATGGGCACAACAACGTAGCAAATATCAGCAGAGATCTTGCATGCACTCGCATCTTCTGCACTCCGACACACCAAACTGCAGCCTTTCGTGGGTCTTTCCGATTTGCTGCCTCCAAGTGTTGGAATGACCTTCCTCCTCCGATGCGAGATCTAAAATCAAAACACACGCTGAAGATTAAATTGAAGCAACACCTACTGAAATTACAATGCATACAATGATTCTGAAATACATACCTCAACCTTTCCATCTACTGTAAAATCATTACATCTATTACAAAATCATTAAAAGGGAACACGCAGAGACATTAAACCATGGGCGAACAATCGCACTCAATGAATATTTTGAGGGAAACCTCATTTTGATTACTAATTATTTATAACGCAAAAAATGACAAGCCAAGTCACAGATTAACCACACAATAACATAAACAGCTTTTAATACTGGGTTACATATATATTTATTTATTTTTTAGATTTTTTTTCGTATTCTTGATTAAAATTGCATTGTTATGTGTATACCGAAAAACCGTGCACCATACAGGCCCTGTCAGAATACCAGCGTTGTCGTGACACGTTTAGTTACATGTCACGGCAGCATTATGCTGAGGCAGGGTCCTGATTGACCAATATGATGGCTGTTAGGTTTAGAAAATTGTGTAATGCTTACTTTTTATATATGTTTTTTATTTTAGCAGTTTATAATTTTTATGTTTGTGTTTTATTGGTCAATAAAATGGTTCTCTCTTTAATTTGCAGTTTCTGAGAACATTTACCATAGTAGTGTATATTTTTTTTATACAATCAGAAAGTAGAGATTTCAACAAACAAAAAACACCCCAACTTTTTTAAAAAAGCAGATATTTTGACATGAGAATTTTCGATTGAAAATTAGGGTGCTTTTTGGATATTAAGTCAAAATAATGTGAAAAAATGAATATTTTAAATCAAAAAAATTATTGAATGTTTGAGACATACAAAGGTAAGTTTTCACCAAATTTCGTGAAAAAATATTTTTTTTGCAAAAAATAAAAATGAAAAACCAAAAACTCGGTTATTCGCATTTTTCACATAAATTTTGAGGTTATGTGAAAAAAGTGTCGATACAAAAGTTGTAGATCTTTTTATTACCTACAACTTTGCCATTTAACTTTTTTTCATAGGACTTGCAGTTTTACCGGAAATCGAGATTAACCATTTTTTACCCTTAAAAACTCACCCCCTCCCCCTTCCCGACCTCAGATCGCCCGTAATTTATTTTTCCTTTCATTTTTGTTATATTCTCTACCTTTTCTAATGGGTTTCATCCTACTATATTTTTTTCTCTTTTTGGTCTCAAAAATTATCGACCCTGGTCTACTACGGAAGTTAATATTCTCAGATTACGTTGTTGTAATTAACATGAAGTTAAAGAAAAAGAGAAGAAGTTTTAAAAGAGAACACTGGGTTCATCTCTTTAAATCGGATCGAGCGCGCAAAAGCGTTGCTGCGCCTAGTCACATGAGTTCCATTTTTTTCGGGGACATTTGCGTACTTTTGTCCTGTCCGGTCTCTTGGTGTTCCCGATTGTTCGAGGAACTTTTCGTATGCGGTACTTTTAGTCCATCGTGCACGTTACTCTATGAAGCTGTAAGTGATCTATTTTGACTGACAAAAACGTCAGTGGATGAAAGTCCCTCGTTTACGCAGGCTTATAAGAGAACTACAAATGTCTTGCTTTTAAAATTATATAAACGTAGTTTAATAATCTTCACATTTACAAAGGAAAAGGAACATATGCTTAAGTAATCAATGAGATCAACGAAAAACCTAATTTAGTAAGGTATTCGAGGTTTTGTAAAGAAGACACTAAAACGTGTTGATTAAGAACGTTTTTTACCTTTTTACTTTATAACAAATTACATTTAATAACTTGGACTAGCAAACATAACTAGACAAAATTCCACACGGATCAGGCAGTAGACGGGACTGCGTCCCGTCTGGTCCGCGTGGAATTTGATCTAGTTATATTTGCTTTAGATTTAAACATCAAGCAGTTACATGCTTAAAAAAAAATATAACAAGGACTAGCAAGTTAGAGTAGTAAAATCATGTTCCAAATACAACCATTCTCATTCTATCCATTTCATTTAATGCATCAACATTACAAAGTTACTTCAACTTGGAGCAGCCTAATTCTTTGATTTAAAGACTTTCTAAAGACCTGATTCGATAAGATTGTGCCGTTTTATTTCGAATTTCTTATGGCCACCTTCCATCTCCATCATCAGAGGGCCATTCGCCTAACAGAAATGCTTTGGATAACGCTAACGCTTACGATTACATTTTGTTATTTCTAGCTGCCTGAGGTTTTCAAATGCCTCGCGCTCTTTTTTGTTCTTTTGGATTGGTAATAACAATATTAAAAAAAAATGAGTGGGAGGTATTTGAAAACTTTCGGCGATCAGAAATATCAAAATAAAATCGAAAGCGTTAGCGTTTTCCAAAGCATTTCCGTTAGGCGAATGGCCCCCAGACCCAACGTGTCATGTAGAATCAAAGTACTCGTCAAGACAAATCAATTGAGCATAAACTTGATGGGGTTGTGCCGTTTTATTTAGGAATTCCTATGGCCACCTCCCTCCCAGCTCTATTATCAGATCAGCTCAATGTCATCATAATATTGCACTGTCGCGCGATATACGTATGCGTACAAAATTTCAGCTCAATCAGATACCGGCAATTTGCAAGATTCCATTACAGACAACCGATAGATGATCGACACACTTGTTATAAAAAATAAATAAAAAATATTTTTCTTAAAACCTTTTATTCTTGTTCATAACAAGAACTAAAAGGTAAAAAATAATTTAAGTCTGATAAGAAATATACCATTTTGTAGTTACATTATATCCCATTTTTTAGGGTTCTGTAATTCTGAAAAGGATTCCTCATAGTTTCGTCATGTCCGTCTGTCCCTTCCTAGTTTTGCTTGGATACTATTAGCTATAGAGCTGTCATATTGTAGAGATATGTATATCGATCATGCTGACAAAATGACAGAATAAAATTTTAAAATATTTTTAGGGATGTTTTATTTCATCATCTACCTCATCGTGTGGGATATCGTTAAATAAGTCCTTCAAAATTATTTAGGGGTACCTGAGACTATTTTTCGATTTAGGGATCCGTTTGCAAAATATTGAACGTTAAACGAATTTGATGACCTCCGTAGCCGAGTGGTTTATACGCCGGGTTTCATGGTGACGCCAACTCGAGAGGTCCCGGTCGAATCCCGGTGGGGGCAGATGTTTGTGTGATAAATACGAGCATTTGTACTCCAGTCATAGATGTTTAATATGTATTTCTATATAAATATACTATCCGTTACCCTAGTATTATATATCCCAGTATATATATCCCATAACATAAGCCTTACAGTGCTTACTTTGGGGCTAGGCTTATTGGTGTGTGTTGGAAATATTTATTTTATTTATTTATTGCAGTCCTCTGCAAGGTGGAGGTTACTTCCTTAGACGGGTGCTCCAATTCGAGCGCGAAATTCGCTATACCTCTCTTACACCCTTATAAATAAACCAAGACTAAGCTTGGATTACTTACTCTATGTTTTGTCTCTGTTCATTGAATGACAAATGGCATTTGAGTGATATGAACAAAACACAGCGTAACTAGTCGAAGCTTATTCCTGGTTTATTAATAAGGAAGGGGGATAAGGTTTTGCTTGGTACGGCTTCAAAACATACCCGGTTTTAAGATTTGGCCTTTACAATTACTTTTCTAAGCATATTGTTTTTTTCTCTTTAAGAAAAAGCGGACCAACACTGTGCACCAGCCTTGCGCTATCCGAGCTACTAAATGCACTGAGCTGAGCGAGCACTAATATGCTATCGAACGGGTCGAATTTATATTACCTGCGGTAGGTACTGTACGCCCCTAGCGTTACGGCCTCACCTTCGAATATTTGTTTTTTCAAATAAAACTCTGGAACAATGAAGAACAATTCACAACAACCTGGATAATAATAAAAATCACAAACGGGGGGGGGGGGGGGGGGGGGGGGCTAACCTCCCTGAGGTTACGGCCTCCTTGTTTGTATAAATTCTTTGCTTATGTAATGCCTACGGCTAATGCAGTTGTATGCGAATGCGAATATGAGAACCTTCTGTCATATCGAATATTCTGGGAGATACAATTCAGGCACAGACTGGATCGGTTGATAGAAAGTTTATTGTTATTTCTCTGAGTTTAAATAAACAAGGTAAAACATCTCGAGCATTATCATTTATAGTTATTGTAAGGGTATTCCCCAGGGCTTTCCTTCAGGTTAAGCCCTGCAGTACCTATACTCCGTTTGACAACTATTTCGTACGGAAATACTTTGCACGAACCATTATCGAATTCGAATAGTTAAATTCGATCTTTTTTATACGTCAAATGTGTACTGACTTTTAATTCTCGTTTGTGGCGTTGCTGTTCATGTTTCCATACAAAATATGACAATGAGATTTCACACTTGCAAAATATTCCAATTCGATATGGGTTTGTGCTAAGGATTTGTAATTGAAATTTAATAAATAGTTCTAATTTTGATTCGTGGGTTTAAAATAGCGAGATTGCATGTTTTATAAATTTTTCATAACAATTGACTATTGATGCTTTTTATTCTTAAAATGACAAGGTACACACTACCCTAAGACTTGGATTGGAGATGCCAGGCCAACTATTTACATGACCTGGCTGGTGATCTAAAACCGGTGTATCGTACAAATCACTTGACAACGGCATCGTATCGGAGTTATAAATATGCAGCCCCTGGGATTAAAAAACGAGATAACACGTTTCGTATATTGTTTATAGTACCGGTTCACTTTTTCATGAATCATTAAATAAATGATTAAGATAAGTTTAGTTTAACAGATTTGAATAGGAGTTCGTAAAATTACCACTAATTAAGACGTTTATACAAATATCGCTATTTTAGTATTTTAGACCGCCAGCCCACATTTTAGTGTTAAGGCATTTTTATTTAGTAGGAAAAATAGAAAAACGATATTGGAACATTCTAAGCTTGACTTATGGATGTTATATTATATCTATAAGTGGGCAAATCAATGCATATCGTCATGCAGGTGGGTTAATACTCATGTTGCAGTTATTCAAATTACCATGCATTATCGTGCACATTACCGTTGTAAAGGGGTATGATGTTACACGGCAACGAGTGGGGGTTACAATACATATAACACGTGGTGTGTTGACGGCCCGTCGCCCGTGCGGTGCTATACGTATAGGTTTCCATCGATTGGTCAGAGGCGGCGTGGCTTACCGATCATTAACCCAGTTGTGTGGCGGTCCGCGGCGCGGCTGGGCACGCGAGTCGCCCTCGCCGCGGCATTTCCACGCGATGCAACTGCCCGAGCCGCCGCCGCCGCCCCTGGCGCCCCTGTGGGACCGCGTCATCAGGGCGCGCGCCCTGCCGCCCGATCTCGACGTCCAACTTCTGTACGTAGCCATCCGCGACCGTCTCTTGCATCCCGAATGGGAAGTCCGCCTGCATGCGTTACGGGTCCTTGCCGACCTCCTGCCGCTCTCAGGGAACGCTCTTTCCTTCCCGTTCGATCAAGTAGTCGACAATTTAGGACACAACTCGCCGAACGTACGCAAAGCCGCTTTGGACGCTCTCAAAGTTTTCTGCACCCACTGTGAAGATTCCGAGTGTGCAGCCCGAGCGATACTAGACAAATGCTCTTATCATAACATTAGGCCTCATTCTGCAAATATTGACAACAAAGTGAACGTGATTACAGGCTTGATCCTCTCCATACCTTCACTGATGGCTATCTTAAAGAGAAGAAATCCGGCCCTCGACATGTTTCCAATTTTTAAAATCTTGGGAGATAAACTCTTTGACCTGGTCCACAGAGATGTCGCTCAGCGTTCCCTTTTGAAACTTCGTAGAGTTTGTGGACCTCGTGATTATATGATTTATTTCTCGAGACTGGATTTAAAAGTGCAAGATAAATTCCGTCAGTTGTGCGAGTTATACGATGAAGACTCGATGGATGTTTACTACGCACCGAGAAAATCTATCTACAGAGATAACAATCAAACGTTACTCAAAATCAATCACGTTTTCAGTAGCCCTATTACGACGCCCTTGATGTTGTCTACGGATACATCTTCCGAAGAATCATTTTCGCATATTCCATTTTATAATAATAACTTTGCAAAAGTAATTATAGAAACGGAAATTAAATTCGATGCTGATACGGCTATCACGATGACGGTTTTAGAGGAAAATGACTCTGAAACAGATAAAAATTCAGTGAGCAACACGGGAAGCGAAGAAGACTGTGATAGTTCAGACAGGAACATGCTAAAATATAGCGACGGTGACTCTGAAGACACTGATGTTGTTGTTAAAAAAGTGCGGTTTGGTGGTGAAAGTGTAAAGATAAGAACTCCGGACAGTGAAAATTTGCTCTCGAGTGAAGACGACAACAATGCCAATAAAACTCGCAAAGATCACATTGACGAAGTGTTACAACAAAATACACCCGCTATTGTAAGTAAAGCAAATGAAATAAAACGTGAGGCATTAGAAAGGGAAAGTATAGTGAAATCAGTGAAAAAAAGTGGTATACCACTTCCAGTGATTCAAAATAAAGCTCAACACAATAGCTCTTTGCCTCAGCATAACAAAGTTAAGCTAAAATCTAAATCACTCAGTGAACTGTATGATTACTTTCGTACAAAGAACGATGACCAGGAACGTAAACCTAGGGAAGGGTCAGGCTTTGCCCTGACGCTAGCAGAGGTGCGTTCTCCTGAGAAGGTTCCGAGTCCAGTGGAACCTCACAGGGAAGTCGAAGTTCTTCATAACTTGCAAAGAAGTCCGGTTGTATCGCCCCGGCGTCATTCTACGCGGTTGCATTTGGAACGAGATGGGTAAGTTTTTTTACCCTTTTCAACTTCAAAACCTATACATACGTAAGTATAAAAGACTAGTAATTTCTAGGGACACGAAAAAAGTATCGATACTTTGTGGTATCGAGTACTTTTCCTTTCGATACCGATACTTTTGTACTCGATACTTTGTATTCGATACTTTTACTAAATGAGTACTTTTTGGCAAGTATCGATACCTTTAAAAATTTGGATAAGCGCCTCATATTGATGGCAACGCCATCTTGATAAATCATAGCAAACCTTCTAAAACGTTCCATAGGGTATTTGACAAGTTTTAGGCAACGATCTCACGTTATTGACTAATGTTTATGGAGTCCGTAAAAAGTGGATATTCATCATTCTGTCGTGTATTTCAGTAAAAATAACCAAATCAAAAACTCCATTTTCAAGTTGCCGCGAAAACGTTTCTCTGGACAATATGGCGTCTTACTAGTGTGTGACGTCACACGACTGTTATTAAAACGTCAAACGATACAATGTAATGTCACTTTGACCGGAAGTTTACTTGCGTGTGACGTCATTTTAGGCTCCGCCAATCCCAAGCGGTTTGGGTTACGTGACCATAGATAAGAAAACTAATATCTTTTTCGTTATTTTGGCACTTTATTTTTAATACTGTCAAATGCCCTATTGCGTTGTTTTAGAGTCAGTAACTGACATATTCAAATTCTTTCCAATCTGTGAATGTGTTTATTTTGCGCTTTGTTTTGTTTCATAGTTATTTATTTAGCGACCATATTGTTAGGAACTGTGATGGATTCGCCGTTTATTGTGCTTTTCGCTTGACTGTATTTGATTTATTCAAGTGTAACACTATTATTCTGTATGTGCTGTGTATACCTATTTAAACCACCTGAAAAAAAGACGGACGTAACCTCTTCTATAATTATAATCTTGAGTGAAGCATGCCAATGGCAGCCGTTAACTACGTGTCCGATTCAAGTTAACATAAGTGGGTATAATGTTTTTTAATGATTAAATTCAAGAAAAGTAAGTTTAATTTGAAACAAATCTGAAAAGTTTCATACTTTTAAATGGTTTAAGATTTCGATCTTTTTAATTAACATTTTAATTATGAATGTAATATTAATGAACACTTTTTTAGTGTCAGAAAGCATAGATATTTTCTTTTCATTACATAATATAGTAATTTGTGAATTTACATGTCCTTTTTTTGTTTTTGATTATACGTACTATAGTAAAATTCGATTGTTTTTCTTTCAATTTTTGCTCATCAAGCCACAGAGGCTCCGATAAGGACCTATGAAATGTACTCGATACTTTGAAGTATCGATACTTTTACGAGTACGATACTTTTTTACCGATACTACTCATGAGTACAGTATCGATACTTTCTATTCGATATCGTGTCCCTAGTAATTTCTGGTGAAGGATCGTCACGCCTGGGGCACGCCCATTAATTTATATGAAGGTGGGAAAAAGGCATATGAATTTCCGCTCTAATTAGATAAATAAGTGACCACTTGGTATGACAGATTTGTACTCAAGCTTTACCTACTCTCACCCCATCCTCTACCCCGTGGAGCTGCGGAAACCTTACTGACTCAATTAACACAACGTTGAGGAATATTATTTAATTTAGATTTAGTTAACTGTAGGGTGCTGTAGTTTAACTCAGTGATAAATAGCCATATAAGCATAAATTCCGGCAAATACATGTGATCAATCCGGCTGACTAAGAGCAAGGTCAAACATTTGTTAACGGTACGGTTCGGCACCACTTTGCTTAGGATGCCATGATTTTCGACGCCAAAATTGAGCCACCAAAACTGAAAAATCAGAACAAAAACTCTCTAAAAATTGGTGAATTGCAGTAATATTTCAAATAATATACAAAAATATGATTAAACGAAAGTAATATAAAAATCTTAATAGATCTGCCAAAAAGAAACAAAGACCGACCTGCAATTTGAGCCACCAAAACTTAGGATTTCTCAAATGAAACGCCACTAAAAAGGTTCATCACGTTATGGTAGGAAATTGCTGTGCACGATCACATTTCTACTATTTGCAAATGTTAGAGTTCAAGTAATGTAAGTGGGATGTAAAAATACGACACGTCTCGCGTCATCCAGTAATAAGTTATGACAGGTTGAAATTTCGGCACCTAATCTTAGCATTTTGCTTGGACAAACTTTGATGCCAAATCATTTGTGTTACAATAGATAAAAGTAATTTAAACAATAGAATACTCCAACTACTAAAGGTATTAATGAATGGTCACTTTTAGTTACAAAAAACTTAGAACATAGTCAATCCGAGTGCATATTCGAGAAGAAGTAAGCTGAGGACATGACACCAAGTACTTAAATTTAAATAGGCTTTATTTTCTTTTTTTGTAAAATAAATATAAATATTTATAAAAATCTGTTCATTTAGCCAACTTACAAATTAGAAGTCATAGCATGTTGGAAAAAAATCTAATGACGAAATATTAACTTAATACTGGGATTCTCAGCGTGGACCTGCAAAAAATGCCCTTAGGATATTCACCCAGTCAGAATATGTGGCTTGGTGCCGTTTCGCTACATTCACGTGCGCTTAAGTTGAAAAATTTATCAACTGTTTATTACTTTTCTGTAATACTTACAATATTTTTTGTAGTAATGTAACTGCTAAGCTACATATTTTGACTAAGGTGTAGAGTTTGTGAAAGAGCCTTGTAGCCTTGAGTTAAAAACTTGGCTTTGACAAGAACTAATAACTTTTTGACAGTGCGAGTTATCTGGTCTCGTCTTGGCAACATTTTACATGAAAATGTTTTGGTGGAAGCACCTTTTTTAATAATGTTTCAAAATGCTCGGCAAAGTTCCCCTTTCAAACGATGAATTAGTTAAATAAGTCAAAACTCTACTTATCATAGTTCGATATCTTTTAACAATATCAGTTGATTTACATCGTCAAAACTCACAGTTTTTTTTTATATTCATTTTGAAATTTCATATCATAGGCCTTTCAATATACATACTATAGTTACCTTATTGGTGTTATGTTCATTATTACTTTTATTTGTGGAGGCAATTAAATGGTTGTGTCCACTCTTTTCACATAGAAAAACACACCTCTGCTTCTATTTAAATTGTTTCCTTACATCCAGATTCGTGCTGAATCTGTTGGCGTCATCCCCGCACGGTGAGCTGGATATAAGCCTGACGCCGTCACAGCCTGTATCACCTCTCCGCGTGCGCTATGACTGGGAGGAGTTGGGCGTACTGCCTGCACACGTGGTAGACCAGCTACATAACACGGTGAGTTTAGAGGTGACGGTTAAGATGGTTTCGTTTCACAAAATTTTGTGTTGAATCTGTTGACGTCATCCCCGCACGGCGAGTTGGACATAAGACTGGCGGCTTCTCAGCCTGCATCGCCCCTTCACTTGCGCTACGGCTGGGAGGAGTGGGTGTGCTGCCAGCCGACGTGGTTGACTATCTACATTACACAATGAGTGATAAGATGACGGTTAAGATGGTTTCGTTTCACCTGGTTTCGTGTTGAATCTGTTGACATCATCCCCACATGGCGAGCTGAACGTAAGCCTAATTTTTGTAATAATTATATGAGAAGAGGAGACAATAAACCACCGACCGCAGCGAAGGCGACTCATATCAAAGGAAAAGGCGAACCCGGCGCGATAGCATTTGATAACAAACTCTAGGCTTAGTAATAATAAAATTTATTTTACTTTTATAATTACCCCATCTGCTGACGCGTTAACAAAGGGTATCGATTCGTTTCCATTCGATTAGATTTTTTTTTGCCACGATTTGAAGAAATCTGTCGCATTTTTTTTATCCACTAATTGTGAAAACTCTAATAATGGAAGCGTGAATAAGGAGCTTTTACTGTAATATGGAAATTATACCTAATACCTGACAAACCGCACGCACTAACTAGCGCAAATACAAAAGTCGTCACGATTTGCATATGTCACAAAATTCTACTATAAAGTGGAAAAATATTTCAGTTTAGGTATCTTAAGTGTAATTTATAGGCAGCTAGTCTCTTATCTATTAGACAAGTCCGTCCGTCCGTCCGTCCGTCCGTCTGTGGTGCTGTTTCAGCGGCCAAACCGTAAGAGATAGATAAAGAGAATGTTTAAGTTATAAGTTAAGAATAGTCTGATAAGACTACAAACCGGATTTGAGTAGTAGCACTTCCGGTTTTCGAGAAATCACGAATTTCAAACGAAACCACACAAAATCTCCGAAGTTCTCAATTAATTAAATACATTTTTTTTTAATTGGTGTACATTTGGTTCACTGGTTTGCTAGTAGTCGTAATAATAGACCGCCATTGACGTATAAAGTTGTTTTTATACGTCAATGTTATTGTAATATTGGATTGAGTCTCCATTAAAGTCTATTTTAACGCAAAGTTAGTGTTGCGAAGTAAATTATGGGGATGGTTTTTGGAGATCTATACAAAATACATTCCGCGGATTAAAGGTTCGTATTCTATAATGAGGAGCTGTGAACTTTCGCAGTGGTCGGTCATTGGACGGGTGACCAAAAATTTACTATCTCGAGCTCCTCCGTGCTTCGGTAGGCATGTTAAGCCGTTGGTCCCGGCTGCATCTGCTTTCGTTAGCACCACCAATCCGCACTGGGCGCGCGTGGTGGGTCACAGCCCAACCTCCCTATTCCATCCATAGGGAAGACCAATGGCCCAGTAGCGCGGACATTAATAGGCTGATGTTGGTGATGATGATTCTATAATGAATGACAACATACAACAAATAGCGTAAAGCGAAAGCGATAGTTGTTGCCGCATGCCACAACAGAGTTCTTAAAATATCTGTATTTCTTATGGTTTTTAATTTACTCTTTATATTAAAATTGACAGTAAATTTTTAAACAATATACGCACTATTTTCCAACGCAAGAAACTCGTTTTATTTTCAAATATTCCGATTCATGACTAACATAGTTCAATGTTTTTGTTAAAAGCGTTTCTAGAAAACAGTGACCTTTAATATTTTAAACGCTAGAAGCATTTGTATTAGTTTGTGAATCTTTTCATTTCAAAATACCTAATTGACCTGATACTACCCGATTTTGATAATTCATTCTTTATCTGTACTTTCTAATATATTCATGTATTTGCTTCGAAAAGCACGTTATGCTATTGGTATCGGCTGCATCTATAATCATTATAATGACTACAGATGCAGCCGATATAGGAGTAACACCCACTCTGCACTGGGCCAATATGGTTGGTTGTGGCCCTGTAGGCAGACAGGGAAAGTCTGGCCCAAAAATGGGGACATTAAATTAGGCTGATAACATAGAGCAACCCGGTCACGGAAAGGAGTAGCGATAGCAACATAATATTATTCAAATTATTCTGCCATTTTTTGCGGGGAAATGCACACAAATGCAGTTTAACGTACTGACATGCGTAAATAACGAAATTGTAATCACGACATAATCATTGAGACAATACACCGTCAAATTCTGCACACATATTATTGTTCGTATGCCCAATTCGACAGAGGGGAAAGCTATGTATGCCTTCTCCCCGTCCTGGCGTCGGCCGTGTTACCCTATGACTGATAATGATGATTACATGTGAAGATTTTTTTTGACCAGGAGAACTGGATCTCGTGTGTGAAAGCTGCCGACCAGCTCCACAGCGCGTTGTTGGAGCCTGCCAACGTGAGAAAAGTGGAGCCAGCGGCTTTATCGCTGGTGCAGCATATGTGGGCGCTCAGCGACGCGGTAACACAACCATCTCACATAACTAGTCAATTACTAATACGACCAGCTCCACAGAACAAAAGTTGGAGCCTTATCGCAGTGCAGCATAATGTGGTCTGCCAACGTGAGAAAGTTGAAGGCGGTGGATTTATCGCTGGGGCAGCATAATGTGGGCGCTCAGCGATGCGGTAATTAACATAACCATATCTCATAACTAGTCAATTATTAATAAGACCAGCTCCACAGAACTAAAATTGGACCGTTATTGCTAGCGCAGCACATGTGGAGCCTGCTAACGTGATAAAGGTGGAGCCGGCGGCTTTATCGCTGGTGCAGCATATGTGGGTACTCAGCGAAGCGGTAACACAACCATATCTTAGATAATTAGTCAATTATCGATCAGCTCCACAGCACGTCAATGGAAGCTGCCAATGTAAAGAAGTTAGAGCCTTATCGCTGGTGCAACACATATGGGCGCTCAGCAACAAGGTAGGTAATTCATCCAAGTAGTGTTACCTCACATAATCAATACTTAATTTACATATTTGAACAAACGTGTCTTTGAGTGTGTGTATGTTTTAGTGCTCTCCCATATTTTGGATGATTCAGTCTGTGAGCGAGGAGACTCGTGCGCTAATAGATAGATTCTCCTCTTCCTGCTCGCTTCCAAGTCTGTATTTTGGGAAAAGTTAACATATGTCGACAAAATTAAACATAAATAAAGTGCGTAAGCAGTTGGCGTACAGTCGAATTTAGTAGTATACCTTGATAGGCATTTTGTCAGCAATTGTGGAGGTTATGTAACGTTTGCAAAAGTTGGTAGTCGGAAAGCTGCTACGTGTTACTTGATGGGTTAATTGCGGTCTCTCTAATGTGAATATATTCACAAGGAAATCCTGTACTCAAATAGTGGAGACAATAAAAGGCTTTTGATAGACTTTGGCGGAGTGAAGTATCTTGGTAACATAAGTATCTTCTGCACTATATATTTCTTGCTAATGAACTGAAGAAAAAGCGAACAGGTACTTACGCAGCGTTTTGTTCACATCAGTCGCATCATGTAAATGGCATTACTTTTTAATTAGTACAGTTTCATAATCCTAGTTTAGTAATGATGAGGTACTTTATTAGACTATCAAAAGCCACTCAGACACCAGTCTACTTATCAAATTTCATGACTACTTGTGTATGTAACTACTTTGCTATCGGCCTCCTTAACAAACAGCCTATTTCGCATAAAGCGTTACTTACTGCGGTAAAGTCCGATAGCTCTTACATAATATAATTATTGAATGAACTCAACTCGAGGTTCCTATTTTATAAAAGTGTTACAACTAAGTCGTAAAATTTTCTAGAAAAGGGGGCGTAAACAATGGTAAATGGTGCCAGCAATATTAACGTAAGTACTTACTCTGGTGATTGTAGCCGCAATTAGGTTGATTATGATGAACGGATGTAGGTCACTTTTATTTGGTTAAAATACGTTCTTGACTATACGTATTGGGTTCCATTTAAAAAACCTCGCAAAGTTAAAGGGTTATATTAGTACATAATTCACGCATTGGTAGGATTTCAGAATTATTTATTTTCTATTTAAGTTTTACACGAAAAACATTATCAGTTAACTTATTAGTAATAAATGAGAAGTTTTCTCATTCAAATGAAAGGTTTTTGAGAATTGTCTAAAGTGCATACGGACAAAGCTTTGAAAAGTTAAATTCTTTTGTGATTTTAAACACCAGGCTACCATAAAGACAAAGAAACTCTTAACAAACCCGTGGTTTAAAAGAATTAGTGAATTCCGCTACGTAAATTAAACAAATCTACGGAATAATAATAATAGATTGTAGGCAATTCACCAGAAACGTTGTCGTTTCCGGTGTTCGTGACGGGTTAGTTACTTCTGTTTATATACGGATCGGGAAATAATTTTGTAGCTTTAAAGAATTCCCCACTATTATTTAAACATCAGACACAAATATTTCTGGTAGGTGAACGTTTTTTTTTTCAACTTTCAATTTTCTTTTTTTTCAATACCGATTATTTAAAGGGTGGTCAAATGATTTCGTTAACAAAAGTATGTATTCTTTATTTATAATAATAAAATGGGTACTAAAAATAGTAACTTGTATCGAATACAATTTTTATCCCCTATTTTGCTCACTTCAAGTATATTTTTTTAATAAAAAGTATCTATGTGAAGTCTCTTTCCACACCGAAATTCAATAAACCTGGTTCCGCAGTTTAGGCGGCAAGGTATAAGGTATGATTTAATTTTTATAAATTAGTTTTGCCACCGCTCATTCTTTTACTTGAGGGCAATGATAAGATACGTTTATAGTGATCGCTTTTAAAATCTGATCCAACTTCATATGTTTCTTTGTGCATAGACTAACATTATTACTAGTCGTCAAGACGCTCCAATTGTCCTGTTTTCGAGTTTTCGCAGCGAGCGCGTATGACATATCTGCTCTTAGATAATATCATTGCTTGAGGGTATTTTTTCTCAGCTTTTTGAGGAGCTCGATGGCTCAGGTGGCTAGGGCGTTTAGATGGGATCGTTGAACTAAGCAACTTTCGCAATGGTCGGTCATTTGATGGGTGACCAAAAAATTTCCCTCTCGAGTTCCTCCGTGCTTCGGAAGGCACGTTAAGCCGTTGGTACCTGCTGCTTCTGCAGTCGTTAGCACCCGCCAATCCGCACTGGGCCCGCGTGGTGGGTCATGGCCCAATATTCCTATTATAGGGAAGGCCTGTGCCCCAGCAGTGGGGACATTAAAAGGATGTTGATGATTTTTTCTCATGACTGTATTGCGTCAGGTATCAGCAACGCGTGCCCCAGCGGAAGGGGCAGTGTGCGCACTGTTCCGCGGCGCTAGCAGCGGGAGCGCGCGACACCTGCTGCCGTCGTTGGTGGGCAGGATGGCACGCGAACCGCCGCCCACAGCGCTGCCGCACGCGCTGCTGCAGCGTCTGCCCCTGCACCATCTGGTCGACTTCATATTCGACCCTAACATGATCGGAGTAAGGGCCATTTTAGAAAAAGCTCTGATTAGAACACTCTCTCTCTAGTTCACAACCGCTGCCCGTGCTGGTGGTCAACCTCATATTCGACCCTAACATGATCGGAGTTAGGGAAATTTAAAATAAAAGACACTCTAATCCACAACCTCTGCCCGCGCTAGTGGCCAGGATGGCGCGCTCACCACGCTGCCGCACGTGCTGCTGCAGAGGCTGCCACTACACCATCTGGCCGACTTCATATTCGATCCAAATATGATCAGATTAATGGCCATTTTAGGACACAGCTCTGCTAAGGACTCTCTTTCGTTCTTAACTGCTGAACGCATTACCCTGCCCTGCTGATGCTGACTTCTGTTCGAGTCTTGTATAAATAAAAGCCTCGTTGTCAGGTGCCCGCAGTAGTGTCTAGACTAATAATATGTATAGTGGTCCAGGTGTCCGGTGACGCGGACCGAGTGCAGTCAGCGCAGCTCCGCTCTAGAGTGTGCGTGGCGTGAGTCGCCGGGCCCGCACCCGCAGAAGTGTCTAGACTAGTCATCTGTAAAGTGGTATCGTAATTGACCCAAGAAGGGGCTTACAAATTGTGTCGTGTCCAGGTGTCCGGTGACGCAGACCGCGTGCAGTCAGCGCAGCTCCGCGCTACTCTGTGCGTGGCGCGCGCGGCCGGGCCCGCTGCTGTGCTGGCCGCCGTCCGCCGCCGCCTCGCCGGTACCGCTAGGGCGGATATTTTCTGCGTCAAGGTTAGTATAGCCCTCCATTCATTATCGTCTTTTAAACATGGAATTTCTACACTTCACGGGACTGTTCTTCTTTAATATTTTTCTATTTCGGTGATTCCATGCGTGGTAAAAAAATTTTTATCTACACCCATGTTTTATGCCGCGTATTCATTAAGCAGCATTTGTTGATACACTGTTTATGTCGTTCATCATCTTGTTTACAAACAAGTTTACCATAAACACTGTTTCTGAAACATTGGTGTTAGTCAGTTGTTGCTAGGATTTTGCCCGAGGAGATAGTGTTGTTCTGTGCTAACGTTTACTACGTATTATAGGCAGTGTCATGAGAGTACAAGAAAAAAAAAATAGGTGGTGGACTCGAAACAACCTCTTCAATAAAAGCTATGTATGATTATGTATTGATTATGATTTTATTTATTTTTTAAGCATTTAACTGCTAGATGTTTAAATCTAAAGAAAAGTTTACTAGAAAAAAATCTACGCGGACCAGGCAGCGGACGGGACTCGAACCCGCATCCTTCGCTATCCGGGCGAATGCACTGACCATTATGCTACCACGGCCCTATTTGCTGCGTCGAAATTTTCCTAGCCTTAAGCTGCAAGGCAGCGCCATTAATTATTCCAAAACAGTTAGCTTTTTGCCAACATTAAAAAATCCAATGTCATAATAAAAAAAACTATTGTAACACCCAAGCGGGTGTTATCAAGGTGTTATAATGTTGTACTTAATTCCATAATAACACTCTTTCGTTTTTAAATCCCTTTCGCGCCAAGGGCTTACCCGTCAGACAGCCACATTCCCACTGCTAGATGTGTCATATTTTGGTTTATTTGTATGAATTTCAAAAAGGAACATTGTCATAATTCGCGTTTAACTACCACAGCGCCGTAAAAAAAGTTATACTCCTTTGCTCGTCCCAACAGGGATCAATAGATAGACCAAAAAAAAAGTTATAGGTTATTCGACCCGACACATTATAGTTTTGCAATTTATTACTTTGTTATTATGGTAATAAAATGAGCGATTCAAGTTTTGATAACGCACCACCAGATAATTCTAATGCAGTAAAGGACATTTCTAACCAATTACTACCGGACAAATCAAGAAAACAATATGAAATGGAGTACCTAAATTTGATGTGTTGGAAAATATCAAATGGAAAATACAATAAATATACATATAGAGGATTCATATCTTGGGTGTAGATAAAGTTTTGTATGCAACTGCTTATAATTAGGTATTAAAACATTCATTTCATACACAGATTCGTGTTTTAATACTTCTGTTATACAACAGTTGCATTAATAACTATTAGCCTTTGCAAATTGTGAACATTGCAATTAGCGTAGCGCTATCGGCATGTTATTTGAACTCTCATAATAATTATTGTAAATCTAAAGCTTTGTAATGGAAAAAATGTTATGGTAGGATTTTTACATGTTTATTGATACATTGGTGTCGATTCTGGCACGATTCTCTAAATCTAAACTTAAATTTGACAACAGTGTATCCTTGTCATTCTCAATACAAAATAAGAAGGAGCTGATGTTAAATTTAGTTTTAAGTTTAGAGAATCACGCTTGAATCGACACCATTATTTTGCAGGAATGAAAATTAACACCATATTTTTTTTACAGTTGCGAGAACGACTAAGTAGGCCGGTGGAAAACGTTAAGCCGAGTCAAATTGTTAGGTAATTTTATATATGTATTTTCCTTTTATTAATTTATTATTATCATTATAATTTACCATGTTAACATATGATCGAGAGAAAAACTAAAAACTTGGCACAGTTTTTGCTTACTTTATTTTGGATATGAGTTTTTTTCAACTAACGTCCATATATGCATTAAATTTATCATTTAAATAAAAGCTTGTGTACAGTTTGTACACCTTTAATGAGAATTAGTTAGTTACTTGGAGTGCAGGAGAAAAAGTTTAGAGAGAGATAACTTCCGAGATATATTGTAAACAAATTTACAGTTAGGTGTAGGCTATTGTTGTCTCTAATGTGTGTTATTTAGTTCGCGTTTGCAATTGCACTGTCTTTAAATAAAGAAATAATATTATATTATTACGATAATATGACACTCTAGGTAAAAATTAAATTGTTATTAATAATTTTATTTTAATGTATTTTTTAAAATTCTGATTTTTTATGTATGGTTGCTGTGTAGTATACTTGTATAAGCATGCTGTTTGCACATGCTAGTGGAGTTCAGTATTTCTTTATCACCTGTTTTTCTTGGTGTCTTTTACCATTTTGCTTGCTGTAACTCTGTTTTGTGCGATAAATATATAAAAAAAACGCGGGTCATTGTAGCAGCCTGAGTGACGTTCGCGGTGTTAGCAAATTTTTCTGCATAAGTAAACGGTACAGCTTGTAAGTACCTTTTTAAAAATTATTTTATGATATAAACTTTTCGGCTACCCAGGAGTTCCCAGCTGCCAGTGCCAGTGCGCAGGCGCGCGAGATCCACTCCCCCGCCGGCCGCGCCCGCGCCTCCGCGTCGACTGAGACCGCTGCCTGACTCAGCGCCACTACCAGGTAAAAGAGAAATAATAGTTACTCACCATCCATATTGGTCTTCATTCATATAATACTTGTATCTGTAAACCCCTCGTTTTCACCAAGGTATAATCATCATCATAACCCTATTAATGCCCCCATTGCTGGGGCACAGGCCTTCCCTTTGGATGGAATAGGGACATTGGGCCATGACACACCACGCGGGCGCAGTGCGGATCGGCGGGTGCTAACAACTGCAGATGCAGCCGGAACCAACGGCTTAACGTACCTTCCGAAGCACGGAGGAACACGAGATAGAAGATTTTTGGTCACCCATCCAATGACCGACCACTGCGAACTTAACTTCAACGATCGCAGCCGCACCTGCGCTACGAGCTCCTCAAGGTATAATAAAATTTATTTAACAAATTGTATACAGTCTTAATTTTTTCTTCACACTAATAACCATGCATAAAACGTGTAGTATACAATACTTGCATCAAGTTTGTTGGATAAACAAAATATGTGAAGTAAATAAATGATTTATTACTAATATGAAACGAAAGAATGTTTTAAACAGCCCCAACAAGTATTCCACAAGTTTTGTTTTAAAACTAGTATAATTATGAATTTGTTTCTTGATGGAAACAAGGGGTAAGATCGGTCTATAGTAAATGAATAAAACCAATTTTCCTAAATTTTTCTTGTCTATCTTATATGTGTGCGGTTTGATGATCAAAGCTTTTTTCAACAGGCATCACTCCAAGTGGGAGGGAATATTTCCTCAAGCCGTTATCTCCGATCCCTTTGAGCGATAGGTAAGTGAACATTTTAATTTTCTTCTTTTAATCTACTAGTGCATAGGATTTTCCTATGAATCTCTTATTTAGAATGGATCTAAATACATAAACATAGGCTCGATGCAGATTAACTACATTTTGCTGACGGAAAGAGCCTAGGGTGACTTTCCTAGCACTGTTTAATTTTTTTATAAAACCTATATCATAAAGTGATTTGATGGAATTTTCGCGAAAATCTTAGTGATTTTGCGAAAACGCGCCTGATTAGACAATGGCGATGACATTTCTCAATCCTACAGGTAAAAGATTTTTGCGGAAACGCGAGTCGCCTCAGTAAGATTTTGAAAAGATTTGATGGCTTATTATAAATATTCTTGAAATTTTGGGTTCACACAAGGTTGGTTTAGGTGTAGGATTAAGTTTTGATAATATTGATACCAAGTTAAAAAAAAAATATACATTTTTTTCACATTATTATTTATTTTGATGTTTAACATTGAGCCTAATTTGTTTGGATTTTTATATACTTGCAGAGAAAATACAAAAGCATACGCGTGCAAACGTGAGATAAATATGATTTATTTTCCTGATAATACAATTTTATAGAGCAAACGTCACGTCATGAGTAATGATTTTCATAATTTGAATACTAGACAAAACCAACAACTTGGGAACATTGGTTTTGGAGCAATTAAAACTTCTTAATACGCCCCCTCAAAACCAAGGTTCTGAATAACTTAAAGTAAAATATAACTCGCCTTCTAAACTCTCAAACCTACTTAACAAAAAAATAAATGTACATACCAGACAAACATAGTAATTTACCCGTTTTAACATCCAAACCGTTTATTCATTCATAGTGCTTTACATTCGACAATGGTTTGGCAAAACATCTGTTAACATAACATTAGCAGGTATATGTTCCAGTCAACGATATTAAATACCCTAGATACACCAACACGAACAAAATCGTGGCCGAAACCTGACCAATAGGTACATTGGACGATTGGCGGAGCTCCGTAAGATGATCGCGTACTCAAAAAATGGTTGCCTGTAAAGTCGGTTTTACGGGCGAAGATTTTACGTGACAACGTCTTTTTCTCGGTAGAATATTTATTGATATGAATATAATTAAATTGCACAATAGGAACAAGGAATTGAATGAAAATAAGAATTGCACAAATTTTAACTATAGAAATATATTTTGTTTACTAAAACATTGTACATGTAAACTTAAACTTAACACGAGAGACTCATCGTAAAGTTACCGAGCGTTACACTTTTTCATAAGTGACTCCCAGCCGCAACCTAATTTAAGACGTTGTCACGTCAAAAACAAAATAAGGCATTATTTAAACATTGAAAGTTACCTTTAACGCGTACTGTATAAGGTCTTAATTAAAACGCATGCGGCAAAGACTTATGACAGCTCGCAAAATTTTACGACTTATTGCTATATGCGGAAGAATATAGACCTTATTTCTTTTACTTCTACGCGCAATTCTGCGAGGATGGTTCTTACGCAGAGAAAATTAAAAAAAATGTCTGAAAAAGTCCAAAAACAACACTTTTCTATACTCCCATACAAACGATTCGTAATAATACTTAAAAGTCAATTTGAACTTTAATACCATACCATAAACTTCAAATGTTAGTGGAGAGGTTCCGGGAACGCAAAACAATTGAGTGACGTGGTGTTAATAGAAGTTTTGAAAAGGCAAATATAGCTACAGGCATTTTCAGTGTTTTTTTATAATTATATGAAGAGTCGTTTTAGTCTACACTACAGCTCTACACCGAAGCGAAGCGAGGGCGGGCCACTAGTATTATCATAAAAATATGTTCTTTATTCTGTATCCTTGGCTAGAGACAAGGTTAATTGAGGCTTTGAATTAATCCCATGCCTTAAAGCTTTGAGTCTAGTCTTTTATTCCACTGTCTTCCTGCTTGCTTCAGGCCATATAGTCATTTTTTCAGCAAACACGTGTAATAGAGTTGGTCTACCGATGTCCTTTTAAAAATTTAACGTTCGTGTATACCACAGTTTCCATTGGAACACGTTAAGTATCTACTTCTAAATCAATCAAAGGGTTCTTAATCTTAGTAGTACGGCGGGCTGTATCCGCAAAGAAAATACAAAAATCTTTATTTCATTACAGTTTCGTCTTTTCACATAGGACTCAAAATGAACCTGTTGTAGAAGGAAGCTACTCCTCAACTTTTTCACATATATTTAGTTAGGTACATTAATAAATAGGCTTGCCAGTTAAACACAAACCTCCGATTTTGATACTCCAAACATTGTGTGATTAAGTCATGCGCAAAATTGGTACTTCCAGCCCCGGCGCAAAGGAAATTATTCTGAGTTTTTTTACATAATAAAAAAATATATTTCATCTGTTATCTGTAATCATAGTCATATAAAATGATCGAGAGTACACGCACACGCAGATTCCGTGGTTGCTGCCAGCCGCTGCCATTCCGGTGTAAGTTAAGCCCATGTTGAGCCAGAGAATGATGTCGATTCTGGCATGATTCTCTAAAGCTAAACATAAATTTGACAACAGTGCATCCTTATCGTTCTCCATACAGAATGAAAAAGAGAGACTGATGTTAAATTTCGTTTTAAGTTTAGAGAATCACGCCAGAATCGACACCAATATTGCCATAAAATTAACGCTACACATTGACCACGCTACGTGCTACGGTAGGTTGCCGCTACGAGTATCTCTACGTCGACTGCGTGGATTTAATGCTACGAAAGCTACGACTCTGACGAACTTTATTTTCAAGAATTAATTCTAATTGGAATCCGAATAATTATCAGATTTAATTAATTTTGAACATTTTAATTGTTTTCAACACATTTGCTTAAAAAATACATATACATTGTTCGACAGTTCAAAATTACGGGCCATACAACGGAGCTCCCATATGGCGTCGTGGGTATCCTTTACGGTTTATTTATTTTCTCTTTGAAATCGCTTTTAAGCTTTTTTCTTTTTCTGTCTCACTTTATTACTAAAAAGAAATAGACGAAAGATGTAGTTCTTACTTTTCTTTTATTAGAAAAAGTTTGCTTTAATTAGGGACCTACATTGTTTTCTCGCAAATGTGTTGAAAAACATTGTATGTCAAGTATTTCCAAACTTGTGACTATGTTTTTTTTTGGTATTGCAAGCGTCTATAGGCTATGGTGGCCACTTACCATTAGGGACACGCTTGTTCGCCACCCTTTTAACATAAAAAAGTCATGACCAATTTATAAGCAACGAAATTGCTATTTGTTTTTTTATAAAATACTTATGTACCGTATATACCGAGCGTATATAATATTACACGAACCAGTTGGTGCCACTTTTGACCCTTCTATAACTCAAAACCTCTTTGACGGAAACACATAAAACTACGTGTGTTTAATTATATCCATAAGGACATCTAGAAGCCCAAATTTCATGAAGCTAGCTCAAACGGTTATAAAGATATGAAGGTCATAAAGTCGTAAATTTTAGCACTGACTGACTGACTGAAATACAGGATGTTACAAAAATACAAATAAATCCTAAAGGGCGTTGAAGTACATCATATAATGAATCTTCTCTAATTTTCTTTATTACAGCAGATTTATTACTACTCCTGGTAAGGTGCATGAACTCGAACTAGTGACGTGTCTTAAAATGATCGATATTTTTATTAATCATTAAAAATAACTGTTTTTATAAAAGTTCAAACTTCTTGCAAATATTTTAATAAAATTAGAAAAGACTCCTTATATGATGTACTTCAACGCCCTTCAAGCTTTATTTGTATTTTGTAACAACCTGTATAGTACCCAAATCTAACCTACTTCCAGATGTCCTAGAAGGATGAAATTTGGAATCCAGCTCGGTAATTGTGTGTAAGCGTAGGAAAATATCTAGAAATAAATGGTTACAGTTAACGATATAAGTAAGTAGTTTCTTAATTGTTTGTGATTTTGTTTTCATGTAAAAGTTTTAATTAAACGTTTACAACGTGTATAATATGGTGTGAAATGGTTGTCCTTGAAATTCGTTTAACCAAAAAAGGTTGTTTATCAAGGCTAAGTGTAAAGTAGCCGCTTGTGTTTCACGACCTTGACTGTGCCCGTTGGCCCCGAAAATATAACGATGTTGTCGTGATAATGACAGAGCAATGTTGTGATTCATGTTTAACGAAAAATTTAAACTAAAATCGGGTCATTTCTATATTATTTGTTGGAAGACTTATTTCGTTTGTAAAGCAAAATATCATAATAGTGAACTAGCAAATATTATAGGCTTGTTCCACGTATACTTTACATTTTTGAAAGTCTATCTATTTTTTTCCGGGATAAAAAGAATCCTATGTCTCAGTCCAGGTCTTAAAGTATATGTGTAGATTTGCATAATTAAGTAACAAACATACAAACTTTTATATTTATTATTTAATAAATTGTTTATATATTTATTAATCATGGGACGGAACATTGGCTAGGAACCGCTATGACTGATCAGATCAGTATTAAATTATTCCAAATTAAAGCACATGGAAAGGTAGGAAAAAAGTTATGATACATATGGTCGCCAATGCAGAAAATTAATTTTTCACTGCATATTAATGATTTTTGATTACCAAAACCATGTGGTCCTTATGTTTTGCTTTAAAAGATTTAGATGGATATACCTTTTTTAATACTCACACATACACAATTATAGGGCTTACAAACACAGATAATAAACTATGGTGAGTAAAGGGATTTAGTTCAGTTTCTGTAAGGGGATTTAGTTCAGTTTGACGACCTCCGTGGCTGAGTGGATTGTACGCCGGGTTTCGTGGTGTCGCCGACTCGAGAGGTCCCAGGGTTCGTATCCGGGTGGGGGCAGATGTTTGTGTGATGAATACGAGCACTTATACTCAAGTCATGGATGTTTAATATGTAATTCTATATAAATTTGCTTATATACAGTATATGTATTGTATTCTATCCGTTACCCATTGGTGTGAGTGTTGGTAATATT